AACTGTTGACAATCATCCTTTACAGTTTCTTTTCCTGTCTGGACTCAGGACCCCATTGGTTCTGAGGAGAAATGTCCTGTTTGTCTCCTACAGTCCTAACACCATGATTTGTTCTCTGCAGGATCCTGTGGCTCCACTCTGAGACAGGTCAGTGGGTGTACCCTGTGTTTGAGAAGCTCAGCCCAGTGGTGCTAATGGCATTCTTCTGTCTCAGCTACGTCTTTAGTGCTGGCCTCTACCTTCTTGGAGAGAAGCTCAGCCACTGGAAATGGGGTCAGTATATTTCTCTCTGATCTACAGAGACATTTCCTTCTTACCTTCTCTCCACTGCTCTTGGAAACAAAGGGAGAAACTAGTTCATAATGGAAAGCAATGATACTTCATGCCTTTATCCAAAGGATGCACACAGGTCCTACCAAAGGAGGAGAAGGAAGAGTCCAGGTAGGGTTTGTGGACAGTGGTGCAGAGGTCAAACATGATGCTCTGTGAGGTAGACCCACATGGGAAGATTCCATATTTGCATCCAGAAGCCTTCCTGAGTACACTAGGCTTGTACATACCCATGATCTGGAGCCGGCTAAGACTGGGGTGGATCATGGCAACAAGATCCTGCTAGAGGTGTTTTCTCTCTGTCTCTTTCTCCTTCTCTGCCTCACACTAATAGAAAAGAAATACATTAACTTTTTATCAAAAGGCCTGGGGGAAGTTAGCACTCCCTGAAAAGAGTCCATCAAATTATCTTCCCTCCTTCCTCAGACAACACTTCATTTAACATTAAGCAAAAAATAAATCTGTTTAAGGTTGGCCTCCATAGTGCAATAGTTCAGCACTGTGTGGAAGAAACTAGATCCCACATGGCCAACAGTGGTTCAAATCCCAGCCCCAGCACTTGAAAAGAAGCACTCTGGGCATGTGTGTATAGGCATGCCCTAAATCCTGATTGGATAGAAAGATGGAAGAAAAAGGATTACACATGACCATGACCATGGGGGAGTGATTTAGCTCTTCTTCTCTCCCTGGCAAGCACACATGCCCTATTGGGAGAAGGGATAATCTTGTTTAGAAAGGTCAGAGTCCAGAAAACAAGGTATTATCATCCCTAGGATAAAAAAAATGGGAGCAGGATCATACACACACACTCCTTCCAGGGCTTGAGAGAGACACAAGTGGTTACAATGTCAAGGTTTTCTTTATGAAGGAAATGAGTCCAGATGCCTCTGGTAGCTCTTCCCGTCTTAGTGGTGTGCTGTCAGAGGAGTTCCCATTCCTCCTCCATGGCATTGCTTCTCAACCTTTACTAAAGCATCTGCCAGATAAAAGCCCAGCCTATACTTGAGGTTGAGATTCTTGTGTAGACAGGCCTTGGGCACTGTGAATGTCAATAAGCTAGGCTTTCTACTTATAAACGAGTAGAACCAACTTGTTTCTTCATGAGAAAAATATAATCTTAATATAGTTGATTTTGTCTACTGCCAGTGGGTGTATGTGCTTGCCAGAGAGAGAGAGGCAGACAGAGAGAGAGAAAGGAGAGAGAAAAAAATATATATATATATCCACCAATGAGGCATAGCCACACCGCAATTCCTTCTCCTCCATTTCTGCATCTTGTCAGGATTTCAGATGCACACTCACATGCTCCCAGCATGTTCTTCAAGCCTCCTGGGCTAGGAATCGAACTGCAGTCAGCCTTGTGGGATCCAGTTTCCCATGTACAGGGTTTAACCATTGTGCTATGGAGTCAGTCCTTTAGTTGGTTTTAAAAAGAGGGAAGATTTAATTCTCCTCCTCATTCCCCTCTTCCTTATCCCCAAAATGTTTTCTGTTGGAAAAGTAACTACCAGAAAGTCAGATTTCAAAATACACATGACTTTTTTTCCCCAGTCAAGAAATGCAGCAAGCTCTGTGCTGGTTTTGTAAATGAGAAAGGCAGAGTCGCACACAGTCCCCACATCCTCGCCCACATGCCATTCTGTTCCATCAAAATAGAAATGGCAGAAGTGGCATCTTCCGCCCAATCTATGAACTGGTGTGAAAACATAAGCCTGGGTATGCAAAACACCCGGCAGTTTCAGAAGGTTCAGTACCAAAGTGCGTATTTGAGAGAGAAGGCTGAGACCCCAGAGAGACAAGCATGCAACTTAGACTTGTCATACTACTCCCAGAGCATCTGACTGGTTCAAGAACTCTCAAAGACAATATCCTCTTTGAAAGCAAACACTTAAAAATGGAATACTAAAAAGCACTCCCTAGATAAAAATTCCAAATCATTGGCAATTATCCAGAAGGAAAAAAATGTCGACATTTCAGATGTGTTATATCTAATTCTAACTAGTTTTGGCTCCTTAAAGTTCTGGGTAAAGAGAACAGATTCCTTCTCTAAATCTATATCGAAAAAAGAAAAAGAAAGAAAGAAAGAAAGAAAGAGAGAGAGAGAGAGAGAGAGAGAGAGAGAGAAAAGAGGGGGGGGAGGGAGGGAGGGAGAAAGGAAAGGGAAGGGAAGGGAAGGGAAGAAAGAAAAGGAAGGAAGGAAGAAAGAAAGGGAGGAAGAAAGGGAGGGAGGAAGGGAGAGGGAAAAAATGAAGGAAAGAAAACAGAAATGATTGATTTAAGAAAATAATCCTTGTAATATTTGGCAACTATAGGAAGAAAAAAACTTAATTACTTAGACCTTCAAGAATAATAACTGTTTAGTCAATGGCATTACACTCAGTGGGTTAATTTTTAAATTGTTACTGTGTAGCAAATATTAAATTTCCATTGAGTTAAAAACTAAAATTTTTGCTTTATGTATTATTATGAAAATCACTATATTCAACACAAAGACCTTTATAAAAAGCCTCATTGTGGGGACCAGCAGTTAACGTAATGGCTATGTTGCTGGACTCCCATGTAGTCGACGGCAGTTTGAGGCCTGGACCCGGTGGCTTAAACTCATGCCGGGCGCATGTGCGTGCATGCCCAAGATCCCGAGAGGAGAATGGAGGAGAAGGGACTGTGGCATGGCCATCCCTCATGTAGCATTTGCTATAGGGCACGTGTGCTTGACAGAGCGAGAGAGAGAGAGAGGAAGTGAGAAACCCTCCCCCAGAGAGGATGGCCATACTGCAATCTTTCTCTTCCATTCTTCTCTTAAGATTTTGGGCATGCATATATTCGTGCCCAATGAGATTCTCAACCCACTGGGTCTGAGACTTGAACCACAAAGCTGGCCATGTGAGATCCAGCACCTTAACCACCAAGCCACATGCTGGTCCCCATTTTCAACATTTTTGAAGAGTTCACTGCATTGCGATTTTAAGGAATCTGATTTCATTTTTCATTCTCATTCTGCCATGTGTAATCAATAAATATCTGCTTGGGATTTAACCAATTCACGATCCTGTTCTGATGTTATAATGGGTTGTTTTACCCATTTTCTTCTTAAGGAGTTAAAAATCTAGAGGGAGGGGAGAGAGACAAGTAGCCACAACAACGTCTATTATCCACATGAACCTTGGCATATGCACAACATAAGCAAGAGTGCCATATGTTGATGCCAGCTTGTTTGCTCATTGGGATTTAATTGTAGTGAAAAACCGGATATAGTACTTATACAGTGAGGGGTTGTTTTTTGGGGTTTTTTTGAGAGATTTTTGCCATAGGGCGTATGCACTCGCCAGAAAGACAGAGAGACAGAAAGTGAGAAATCACTCCCCAGGAGGGATGGCCACACCACAATGCCTTCTCCTCCATTCTCCTCTCAGGATCTTGGGCACACGCACACGTGACTAGCATGAGTTTAAGCCACCAGGACCAGGACTCGAACTGTGGTTGATCACATGGGAGTCCAGCAACATAGCCATTATGCCAACTTCTGGTCCCCCGCTACTGCTTTTTAATGACTTCTTTAGGGATTTGTTTTTATACCAGACCCTGGGTCCGCAGATGGTGGGGTATTCACAGATTCTTCTCTCTAGCATGAAGAGGGACTTCTTGCAAAGGTATTCAGGAATAGCAGATAAATGACTCTAGTGGTTATAGATTACAGTAGAGTATGAAGAGTTTAAGGAGTCTGGGAGGGCGGCAATATGGTATACCATGGAAGAGTGGTTGACAGTGGTTGATTGTGGTAGGACAGATAGAACATGCCAAGGGAGAGAGCATTGGAACAAGCATCAAGAAAGATCGGGTATGTACTGCACATGGCCACCAACCAGCCATAACCCACGGCCATGCACTTCAACTCTTCAGGGACAGGATGGTCACTAAGTAGGTGGCCATGCAGCCCGGTTTGCCTAGGATGGTCCTGGTTGATGCCTGCTATGCCGCGCCCACATAGTTCAACACTGTCTAGGCTTGGATAGTCAATTGTCAAGGGTCCCCTACCTCTAAGTCTCAATCTTCTGTTCTGGACTTTCAGAAACATAGTATCCATGTCATCTGACTAGATTCAAGACTAACCCTACTTTCTCTCCTCCTTTTACTGCCTAAGCCATGTAGAATAAGAGCAGAAATATCATTTTTATTTTAGTTTTAATTGCCAGAGGGCATGTGTACTTGCCAGAGAGAGACAAAGAGACAGGGTGTAGGAAAGAGAGAAAGCACCACCCTGCTGCCATCGGACATGATCATGCTGCATTCCCTTTTCTTCCATTTCTCTATCCTGACAGGATTTGGGGCACAGAAAAACATGACCCCACCATATTTTTCAAGCTGTTGGGATTGGGATTTTAACTGCAACCAGCCATGTGGGATCCAATTTTCTTAATCACAAGGCTATGGGGCCAGCCTGTCTTTAGATTCAAAGGAGAGGAAGTTGGAGGCAGGTTAAGAAAGTTCTGGTACCAGGTTGCCTGGGTTCCAGCTTTGGCCCTGCCACCTGGAGAGCAGTAAGACTGGCAAAGCACTCACAGTCTCTGTGTTCCAACTCCCTCTTGTCACCATGGAGACAATGCTAGTAGCCTCTTCCTAGAATCATGGAAGACCTTACATGACTTGCTAAGCATCAGGTGTCAAGAGCAGGGCCTGGCATACAGAGTTAGTCGCCATTGTTGTTAATCTCTTTCTCCCTCAGCAAAAATCACTACCTTTTTTCTCTGTGTGAATATTCCCATCCTCCCCTTTGACTTTGTACATAAATTACCAGTTTCCCAGCTGACAGCAATTAAAAGTAACAACCACCTAACTGAATGCAAATTGACAGAGTTGGTACATTTCCTCAAGAACTTACCGAGCAAAATAGAATTTGTCAGTGCAGCAATCTGAATCTCCGCTTCTGAAATCCTGAGACACAG